GCTGCTGCTGCTGCTGCTGCTGCTGCTGCTGCTGCTGCTGCTGCTGCTGCTGCTGCTGCTTTCAGGGCTGGGCAGTGCCCTTAGCAGCCTGCGGGAAGCAGCACAAAGACACGAGTCTGCTTTGAAAGAGTTAAAGGCTTTTGAAGACGGGCTGCTTCCAGCCAAGGCTGCCAACGCCAGGCTGCAGCAGCAGCAGCAGCAGTGCAAGCAGGTGCGCAACGCCGTAGCTAGCCAGCTAGCCAGCTAGCCAGCTAGCCAGATGGCCAGCTAGCCAGGCCCGGCAAACAGCTAGCTGCAGCTGGCTAGCTACTTTGTCAGAGATCTGCCAGTAACTGTGAGCCCAACTGGCCGCTACCTAGGCGCAGCAAGCTAGCTAGTCAGCTAGCTAGGCAGCTAGCTAGGCAGCTAGCTAGGCAGCTAGCTGGCTAGCTAGCTAGGCAGCTAGCTGGCTGGCCGCAGCTAGCTGTTGAAAAGCTGCAGCTGCGGGAGCCCTTTACGGAGGTATGAAGATAGAGCAGGCTGACTGGGGGAGACAGTGACTTTCTAATTGGCTGCTGTTGCTGCTGCTGCTGCTGCTGCTGTGCTGCTGCTGTTGCTGCTGCTGCTGCTGTGTTGCTGCTGCTGCTGCTGTCTCGCTGCAGCTGAAGAGCCTCAAGGCAGAGGTTGCTGCGCTGAGCAAGTCGATTCCACACCTCAGAGCAGCAGAAGCAGCAGCAGCAGCAGACGCTGCTGCTGCTGAGGTGGCTGAAATGGAGCAGGCGCTGCAGCAGCAGCAAGGGGAAGCTAGTCGACTCGCGGCTGCTGCTGCAGCAAAGCAGCGGGAGGAGAAAGCTCGGAGTTGCGAGTCCGCGCTGGAGCAGCAGCAGCAAGAAGTGCGGCGGCTGCAGCAGCAGCAGCAGCAGCAGCAGCAGCAAATCCACGCGGCCTCGAGGCGCCTCAGAACCAAAAAGGCCGAGGCCTCAAGACTACGCCAAGACCTGGAAGCTTCTAAAGAAATGCATGCAGCCCTCAGCGAGGTTGTCACAAGCATGCGCGTGGTGAGCAGCAGCAGCAGCTGCTGCTGCTGTTGCTGCTGCTGCTGCTGCTGCCTTCTCGGTGCTGTACTTGCTGTTGCTGCTGCTGCTGCTGCTTTGCAAGCCTAGTGTCTCCGCATCTTTGACTGCCTCGTCTGCTGCTGCTCTTGCGGGGTATTGGTCTCTCGATCCCTGCTGCTGCTGCTGTCTGCTGCTGCCGCTGCTGCTGCTGTCTGCTGCTGCCGCTGCTGCTGCTGTCTGCTGCTGCTCACGCTGGCGTTGCTGCTGCGCTGCAGTGTCTGCGCAGGCACTACAGGGGCCTGCCAGCCCCTCCCCGGCAGACGCAGCTCAGCTGGCTGAGAAGGAAGCTGCAGCAGCAGCAGCAGCAGCAGCACTGGCTGCAGCAGAGGAGACGCTGCAGCAGCTGCAGCAGGCGTCAGCAGCAGCGCAGCGGGCGGCGACGAAGGCGCGGGGTGTCTGTACAGACGCCGAGCTGCAGCTGCAAGCAGCACAGTACCAAGCAAGGCAGTCGAACTCGGAGCAGCAGCAGCAGCAGAAGCTGCTGCAGAGGCTGCAGCAGCAGCACGCGCAGCGGCGGCAGGCCCTGCGGGACTCGTTGTCCCGCGCGCAGCAGCAGCAGCAGCAGCAGCAGCAATCTGCTGCTGCGGCAGCAACGGCGGCGGCGGCAGCTGCTGCTGCTGCGCGCGAGGCGTCCAGGGCGCCGGCGTGCCGCGCCCCGCAGCAGCAGCAGCAGCAGCAGCAGCTGCAGCAGCTGCAGCAGCTGCGGCTGGAGGCCCCGCAGCGCGCAGCACTGTACACAAACCCCAGGCTGCAGGGGGGGCCCCCAGACCTCCCGGGGCTGCTGGAGGCCCTGGGGGCCCTGCTGCAGCAGGGGCTGCTGTCGAGGGCCCCCCTGGGGCCCCTGGGGGAGCTGCTGTTCGTAGACTTGGAAGCTTGTGCTGCAGCAAAAGTTCCTGCTGCAGCAGCACAGGCAGTGCTGGAGGAGCACCTGGGGCCCCACACTGCCACCTTCCTAGTCAGCAGCATACGCGAGCAGCGGCTGCTGCTGCAGCTGCTGCAGCGCCACCGCTGGCCCCCCCGTGTTGCTGTTGTCAACTTTTGCTGCTGCTGCTATTACCCCAGACTCACAGACGAGGCCCTGGGCCTCCCCCAGGGGGCTTTTACTCTTTACAAGGCCCTCAGGAAGCAAAGCCCGCAGCAGCAACCCCCAGCAGCAGCAGCAGCAGCAGCAGCAGCAGCAGATGACCCACCCACCACTCCCGCTGCAGCTATGCCACTGGTAAGCCCCAGCTGCAGCAGCTGCAGCAGCTGCAGCAGCTGCAGCAGCTGCAGCTGCTGCTGCTCGGTTTGCTGCTCTGCTGCTGCTCCTTCGGAGAACCGCGTTGCTGAGGAGGCAACCACGTTGCTGCTGCTGCTGCTGCTGCTCTGGAGCGGGGCTGCTGCTTGGCCTGCAGCGGCACTTGCTGCTGCTGCTGCTGCATTTGCTGCTGCTGCTGCTGCATTTGCTGCTGCTGCTGCTGCTGCTGCTGCTGCTGCTGCTAGGCTGGAGTTCACTTCTTGGTAGATGTGGCTTCGATTGAACGCGTGGCAATAGCCGAAGACGAGCAGCAGCTGCGGGCGCTGCTGCAGGGGCCCCCCGCTGCTCCGGGGGGCCCCCAAAGTGGGTACTTGAGGGGCCTCCGGGAAGGGTATACTTGGAGGGGGCCCCTCCATTTAAAGAAACTGGGAAAGGGTACTGAGGGGGTCCCGGGGGCCCCCGGGGCTGCCCGGAGGGTGCGGGGCCTCGTGCGGCTGCGGCCGCAGAGCAGCAGCAGCGGGGCTGCTGCTGCTGCAGCGCAGGCAGCAGCAGCAGCAGCAGCAGCTGCTGCTGCTGCTGCGAACAGCAAGGGCGCAGCAGCTGCACACGAAGGGGAGGCCCTCAGGGCCCTCGAGGAAGAGCTGCAGCAGGAGTGGGAGGCTGAGGAGGCGCTGCTGCAGCAGAAGCAGCAGCGTGCTGCTGCGGCTAGGCAGCAGTTCGAAGCGGCTGCTGCTGCTGCTGCTGCAGCGCGGGAAAGAGAAGCAGCAGCAGCAGAAGAGCTGCGAGTGCGCAGGCCCTCTTTGTCTCTTTTGCTGCCTCTTAGTCTCTGTCTCCTTTTAGAATCTTTTTGCTGCTGCTGTCTCTTCCTGTGGCTTCTCTGGGGCCCCCATTTTGCTGCTGCACTTGCTGCTGCACTTGTCCCCTTTTGCTGCAGCGCTGCGAAGCAAAAGAGACGCAGCAGCAGGCAGCTGCAGCAGCAGCAAAAGACAGCAGCGACGAGGCCCGCCTGGCCCTCGCCAACTTCAGCAAGAGGACCACCAACCTTCTGAGCCAAGTAAACCCTAAACCCTAAACCCTAAACCCTAGACCCCAAACCCTAAACCCTAAACCCTGAAGCTTTGAGATAAGGCAGCTAGCTGCACAGCCAGCGATGCCCGACCGAGCCGGCACGAATTGCCCGCTGCTCCCACTCTCTTAAGTAGGATTTAGGGTTTAGGGTTTAGGGTTTAGGGTTTAGGGTTTAGGGTTTGTTTCACAGGACCAGCTGAAGGTATTGCGGGAGAAGCTGGAGGCGAAGGAGAGGGAGAGAGACGCTGAGGAGAAGCAGCAGCAGCTGCTGCAGCAGCAGCTGCAGGAGGCCGTTGCTGCTGCTGCTGAGGCTCAAGAAGCCTTAGAGCAGCAGCAGCAGCAGCTCAACGACAGCCAGCAGCAACTAGCTGCCGCTAAAACGGTGCGCTGACACACCAAACGCTCATCAAAGCTGCTGCTGCTGCTCTTGCTGCTGCTGCTGCTGCTGCTGCCGCTGCTGCTGCTGCTGCTGTGGGTACTTTTAGTGTGCCGCCTGCTTAGTTCAGTGGCTAGCTCCAAAGCCACTTGAGTCCTCTGGGGGCCCCAAAGGGGCCCCTTTGGGGGCCCCTCTGGGGGCCCCCAAAGGGGCCCCTCTGGGGGCCTTTTGGCCCCTTTGGGGGCCCCCCAAGGGGCTCCCAAAGGGGCCCCCAAAGGATATCAGAAATTGGGCGGCCCCTGGGGGCCTCTGGGGGCCCCCGGGGCCCCCCAGGGCCCTCTGGGGGCCCCCGGGGGCCCCCGAACTGCAGCAGCGCTTGAAGCAAAAGAGGTGTGGGTTTAGTTTGCTGCAGGCAGTGAGTTGTGCTGCTGCTGCTCTGAAAGAAACTGAGAAGCAGCTGGAGAGCGACAAAGAAGCTGCTGCTGCTGCTGCTGCTGCTGCAGCTTCGCGGCAGGGGGCCCTTGAGGCGAAGAGGCAGGCGCTGGAGGCCCTGCAGCAGCAAGCAGCAGTAAGAGAATAAAAAGAAAAAAAAAGAAATTAAAATAAACAAAAAGATGTTTAAAAGAGATTTAAAAAGGTTAAAAGGATTAAAAAGTATTAAAACGGATTAAAAGAAATTCAAAAATTTTTTAATTTTTTAAAAAGATTTAAAATGCCGCAGGCACAAGTAAAACTCTCCAAAAAAAGAATTTAAATTATTTAAAAAATAAAAGAATTTTGATTGTTTAAAAAATAATTTAAATTATTTAAAATGATTCTTGTTGCAGCTTCTAGTTGAATAAATGCTGTTTGTGAATATCAATTGTCTCTTTAATTTTAAGCTTCTGCTGCTGCTGCTGCTGCTGCTGCTGCTGCTGCTGCTGCTGCTGCTGCTTGCGCGTGGCGCAGAGCCTCAAGAGCATTTGCCCACAACTTCCAGAAGGGACAAACTTGCCCAAACTCTCCGTCGCGGTAAGGAGCCAGCTAGCCACCAGCTAGCTGCCAGCTAGCCACCAGCTAGCTGCCAGCTAGCCACCAGCTAGCTGCCAGCTAGCTGCCAGCTAGCTGCCAGCTAGCCACCAGCTAGCCACCAGCTAGCTGCCAGCTAGCCACCAGCTAGCCAGCAGCTAGCCACTAGCTAGCCAGCAGCTAGCCACCAGCTAGCCAGCAGCTAGCCAGCAGCTAGCCAGCAGCTAGCCACTAGCTGGCCAGCAGCTAGCTGCCAGCTAGCCACTAGCTGGCCAGCAGCTAGCCACTAGCTAGCCACTAGCTAGCCAGCAGCTAGCCACTAGATAGCCAGCAGCTAGCTAGCAGCTAGCCTGCAGCTATCCAGCGGCTAGCTATCAGCTAACCACTAGCTGGCCAGCAGCTAGCCACCAGCTAGCCACTAGCTAGCCACCAGCTAGCCAACTGCGGGGGCGGTGGCCTGCAGGAGGCAGAGGGACGTTTACGCCGTCTTGAAGTCCAAGTGAAGGCGCTAGAGGAAGAAACCCGCGACGAGGAGGTACCCTAAACCCTAAACCCTAAACCCTAAACCCTAAACCCTAAACCCTAAACCCTAAACCCTGATCTGTGGTGCACAGGCACCGCCAGTGCTGCGGTTTTGGGCCGGAAGCAAAAGAAGACAGCGGCCTTTTGCTGCGCTGCAGTTTCTTCTTTTCCTCTGCGGCCTTTTTGCTGCTGCTGCATTTGCTGTTGCTGCTGTTGCTGTTGCTGCTGCTGCTGCTGCTGCTGCTGCACTAGCCATCGGCTTTCGTGCAGTGCGTTTCATTTAGCTGCTGCTCTCTCCCTTTTTGTCTCTTTCTCTTTTTGTCTCTTTTTGTTTCTTTTTCTTTTTCAATTCTTTTTCTTTTTGCTTTTTGCTTCATCTCTTTTTTATTTTTCTTTCTGTTTCCTTTTCGTCTCTGTTTTTATTTTCTTTCTTTTTTCTTTTTTTCTTTCCGCTTTCTTCTTTGTATCTTTTTATTCATTTCCTCAGCAGCAGCAGCAGCAGCAGCAGAAATGCCTGAGTCCTTGCGTTTGATCAGCAGCAGCAGCAGCAGCAGCCGCAGCAGCAGCAGCAGCAGCAGCAGCAGCAAAGCCTCTTTGTGTCTCTTAAGGCTTGCTGCTGCCTCTCTTTGTCTGTTTGTTGTTTGCTGCTGCTCAGTCAGTAGCAGCAGAACTGGCGGAGTCCTCGCGTTTGCTGCAGCAGCAGCAGCAGCTGCTGCTGGCCCCAAAAGCTGCTGTGGCTCTTGCTGAGGAGAACTACAAAGTGAGGACGGGAAAGCTGCTGCAGGCGCTGCAGCTCTCTGCTAAGCAGGTGCGTCTGCTGCTGCTGCTGCTGCTGCTGCTGCTGCTGCCGCTGCTGCTGCTGCGTCTGCTGCTGCTGCGTGTGCGCCTGCTGCTGCTGCTGCTGTCTCTGCTGCTGCTGTCTCTGCTGCTGCTGCTTCTGCCTCTCTGCTGCTGCAGCTGCTGCTGCTGCTGCCTCTCTGCTGCTGCTGCTGCCGCTGCTGCTGCTGCTGCTGCCTCCCTGCTGCTGCTGCTGCTGCAGCAGAGGCTGCAGGAGCTGCTGCGTGCAGACTCGCGAGGACTTCCGGCGTCTGGCGGAAGCAGCGCTGCCGCACCGCTGCAGTTTGGCTTTTGACCATCAGCAGCAGCAGCTGCGCATGCAGACTCTGGACAGGAACCAGCAGCAAGTCAGCAGCAGCCCCACAGCACTTTCTGGCGGGGAAAAAAGCTGCCTCCAAGTGGCCTTTTTGGCAGCTCTTGCTGCTCGCAGCTGCTCCCCTTTGCACCTTTTCGACGAAGTCGATGTCTTCATGGATGAAAGAAACAGAATTAAAAAGTAAAATGCAAAAAACGGCGTCTTCCCACGCGCCCCACACCCTCTCTCCGGTGTACATACACCCCGTGCATGCGCCTCCCGGGTGTATGTGCGACTTTCGGAAAAGCAAAAAATGCCACTTCTCCACTTTTAATTTTCCTCCAAGTCTTTTCTTCAGTTGTTTGCCAAATATTCCTCTTTTTTTGTTTTTTATTCCATTTAAAAAGCCAATTTCGACTTTTCTAAATTCAACTCCAGTTTCTGCTTTTGAAGATCTTTGCTGCTTTTGCTGCTCCCAAAGAACTCGAAATAAACCCTAAACCCTACACCCTAAACCCTAAACCCTGCACGCTTAACTTTATGCCCTGATCTTCAAACCCTAATTCCTAAACCCTAAAATTTGCACTCTAAACCCTAAACCCTTCCTCGGCCTAAACCCCAAACCCTTCGGCCTTACCCCTAAACCCTTAGGCCTAAACACTAAGCCCTTCGGGCTAAACCCTAAACCCTTGAGCCTAAACCCTAACCCCTTCAGCCTAAAACACAAAGCCCTTTCCTAAACCCCCATCCCTAAACCCTTCTGCGCAAACCCTAAACCCTAAACCTCCGTTTGTGTTTTTGTCTTCAGCTTCAGTTTGCTGCTAGACATGGCCCTGCAAATGCGGCACTCGAGCCAGTGTTTCTTTATTACCCCTCATTGGGAAATTCAAAAAGAAGTGCAGAGTGAGAAAAACAAAAAAGCTTCTTTGGCACTTTCTGAGGTGTACAGACACCCCACCTGCATGCGCCCCTCCCTTCTAGCTGCACATACACCCCACAGCCTCTCTGCAGTGTACGTACACCCCAACTCCACCCACCCCACTGCCTTCTTCCTTTGCAGTGTACGTACACCCGAGTGCTTCTGTAGGGCCACAGCCTCCCCCTAGAGTGGACGTACACCCCACTGTCTGCTTTTAGAGTGTACATACACCCCACAGCCTGCTTTTAGGGTGTATATACACCCCACAGCCTTCTTTCATAGTGTACATACGCTCTACAGCCTCATGCACTGTACATACACCTCACAGCCTCCCTCTATACTGTACATACACCCCACAGCCTGCTTTTAGGGTGTACATACACCCCACTGCCTGCTTTTAGGGTGTACATACACCCCACAGCCTCTCTGGAGTGTACATACACCCCACTGCCTCTTTCTACAGTGTACATACACTCAACAGCCTCCCTCACACACCCCACAGCCTCCCTCTAGGGTGTACATACACCCGACCGTTTCTTTCTAAAGTGTACATACACCCCACAGCCTCCCTCTGGAGTGTACGTACACCCCGCCGTGGAGCGTTGTTGCGGTGTACGTACACCCCAGCGTCTGGGGCGTCTTCTGTTTTTGCATGCAGGCCGTTACTCTCCGGAACTTGTTAAGGTATTTAACATTAGAGGGAGTGCTTCTCTTTAAGTTCGCTGGCTAGCCGCCTAGCTAGCTAGGCCGCCGTAAGCGGGCAGCTAGCCAGCTAGCTAGCCAGCTAGCTAGCCAGCTGGCTAGCCAGCTAGCTAGCCAACTAGCTAGCGAGCTAGCTAGCTAGCTAGCTGGCTAGCTGCCCGCTTACGGCGGCCCAGCTAGCTAGCTCGCTAAAGGGAGCAAGCCTCGTTTACTTCAGAGGCTACCAAACTATCCGACACCCGCCTATCTAGCTAGCTAGCTAGCTATCTAGCTACCTAGCTAGCTAGCTAGCTAGCTAGCTAGCTAGCTAGCTAGAGGCCTCGGGAACTGCTGAGGGGCTTGTGCCCTCATTTTGGGGCTTTGCTTTGCATGCGCCTGGAGGGCCCCAAAAATACTTTTCCTTTCTTTCTTTCGCTTCACTTTTATTTTGCTGCTGCTTCTAGTTTTTGCTTCCTGCTGCTGCAGGGGCCCCAGCCCCCGCGCCTCTAAACCCTGAACCCTAAACCCTAAACCCAAAACCCTAAACCCTAAACCCTAAACCCCCGAACTGGAGCCCCTTCGGCTGCGTGTCTGTTGCGTGCACTTGATGTTTCTGTCTCTATCTCATGAAGCTTGCATGAGACGCGCTTGCTTAGCTGGCCCCGGTGGGCTAGCTAGCTAGCTAGCTAGCTAGCTAGCTAGCCACCTAGGCAGTCAGCCAGGCAGCACATCAGCCAGCCAGTTGGCCGGCTAGCTAGCTAGCTAGCTGGCTAGCTAGCTGGCGAGTGGAGTGTGAAGTTTTCAAGTTCTTGAGGTGCACAAGCTAGCTGGCTAGCTAGCTAGCCACGTAGGCAGCCAGCCGCAGACCTGCAAAGCCGAGTAGCTAGCTGGCCAGTGTGCCAGCTAGCTCGCGGGCCCCACAGCTAGCTAGCTACCCAGCTAGCCGCCTAGCTAGCTGCATGGCTAGCCACCTAGCTAGCTACATAGCTAGCCACCCAGTTAGCTACCTGACCGGCTAGCTAGCCAGCTACCTAACTGGCCAGCTAGCCAGCCAGCTAGCCAGCTAGCTAGCTAGCTAGCTAGCTAGTTGACTGGCGGTTGGGGCGCAGGCTTTTGCTGTTCTGCGGGTTTGAGGGCCCTCTGCACGATTTCGAGAGTGTCTGGAGAGAGCCCTGGGCTGTCGCGAATGCGCTGCAGCTGCTGCTGCATCAGCTGCTGCCGCTGCAGGTCATAGCGCTGCCACGGGAGAAAAGCGCCAGCCAGTCTTGCTGCTGCTTGCGGATTCAGCGCGTCCACCTGCGCGGGCCACAGCGAGCAGCAGCAACAGTAACTGCAGCAGCAGCAGCAGCAGCAGCAGCAGCAGCAGCAGCAGCAGCACCACCACCACCACCACCACCGCAGCAGCAGCAGCAGCAGCACCACCGCAGCAGCAGCAGCAGCACCACCACCACCACCACCACCGCAGCAGCAGCAGCAGCACCGCAGCAGCAGCAGCAGCAGCAGCAGGAGGAGACCTGGAGGACAGCGTCAGCAATGATCTGGTAGCCCTTGCCGTCTTTGCGGTGGAAGTGGGGCCTGTTGAAGACAAAAGCACTCAAAAGGGCCCGCAGTCTGTTGGGGTTTTTTACTGTGAAGGCTTCGTGCTGCTGCAGCGCAGCAACTCGCTCCACCTGGTCGGGCAGGTCCGAGCCGGCCTGCGCGCGAAACCACTTGTCCACCAGCAGCGGGTCTCCTGCGCGCACCCCCCCCGCTGCTGCTGCTGCTGCTGCTGCTGCTGCTGCTGCTGCTGCTGGGCGCGGGGGGGGGTGCGGCGCTGCAGCGGGGAGCGCGGGCCAGAGGCAGCAGCAGCAGGCACAACAGCAACAGCAGCAGCAGCAGCAGCAGGCACAACAGCAGCAGCAGCAGCAGCAGCAGCAGGCACAACAGCAGCAGCAGCAGCAGCAGCAGCAGCAGCAGGGTACCTTTGGCTTGTTCGTAGAAGTGGTCGAAGGCCTGCTGCCGCTGCGGCTGCTGCATGTCTGCGAGCACCAGCAGCGCAGCATAAGTGTCTGTCATGCATTTGCTGCTGCAGTAGTGTTCGTAGGCCAGTGCTGCTGCTGCTGCATCTCCAGGTGCTGCCAGCAGCCGCAGCAGCACGTTCCGCAGCCGCCTGCGCGCCACGTTTGCTGCGTCCGGCCCTGCTGCTGCTGCTGCTGCTGCTGCTGCTTCTCCTGCTGCTGCTTCTGCTGCTGCTTCCGGCACCGTCAGCTGCTTGTATAATGCATGCAAGTCTTCAGAAAAAGCCTCAAATAATTCCTTCCGGGCCGAACGAACTGCTGCCTGCAGCACCTCGGGGTCCACTGGACTCATCTCCTGCGCCAGCACTTCCGTAGACGGCAGCTGCAGCGTCAGCGCCTGCAGCAGCAGCAGCAGCAGCAGCAGCAGCAGCGGGGGGTTGGAGGGCGCGCGGCGTCTCGCGCGCGGCGCGGCGGAGACAAGAAAGAAAGGGCGAGTCGCGGGACAGGGAAAAGCAGCAGCAGCAGCAGAGTGGTGCCTAGAGCAGCAGCAGCAGCAGCAACAGCAGCAACAGCAGCAGCAGCAGCAGCAGCAACAGCAGCAGGTTTTGACCTTGATGGAGAGGTCGCAGTCCTGGTCCGTGAGGGCCTGCTTGAAGGCGTTCATATAAACTTGGCTGAGAGGCGGGTAGCTGCCGCCTGCCCCGCCGCCGCCGCCGCCGCTGCTGCTGCTGCTGCTGCTGCTGCTGCTGCTGCTGCTGCTGCTGCTGCTGCTGAGGGCCCGGGCCCGTGCCAGCAGCAACTTGCAGGCCAAGGAGTTGGCCGCGTCCCACTTGTTGAAGGCGTCGCTGTCGTGGGCCATCAGCAGCGCGGCGTCTTCGTCGCTGCTGCTGCTGCACTTGACTTTGACGGGAGCTGAAAAGTCCCGAAAGAGAGAAAGGCAGCAAGGCTCTTCAATGCCTTCAAACTCGAAACTCTGCTCCTCCTCCACCAGCTCCAGCACCTGCAGCAGCAGCAGCAGCAGCAGCAGCAGCAGCAGCAGCAGCAGCGGCGGCGGCAGCAGCAGCGGCGACGGCGGAGGCGTGATAGCTGCGAAGGCGGGCGGCAGCAGCGGCGAACGACGCGCAGCAGCAGCTAATATCGCGCAGCAGCAGCTAATGAACAGCAGCAGCAGCAGCAAACTACGCGCAGCAGCAGCTAATAAACAGTAGCAGCAGCAGCAGCAAGCTGCGCGCTGCTGCAGCGCGGCGGCAGCAGCAGCAAACACTGCGCAGCAGCAGCAAACGCTGCGCAGCAGCAAAACACGCTGCGCAGCAGCAGCAAACGCTGCACAACAGCAAAAAACGCTGCGCAGCAGCAAAACACGCTGCGCAGCAGCAAAAAACGCTGCGCAGCAGCAGCAAACCTGCGCAGCAGCGCAGCAGCAGCAGCAGCAGCAGCAGCAGCACCTTTGTGGGGGGGTCCAGAAGGTCCTTTTTGGAAACTTTTCCAATAAGTCCAGTCTTGATTGGAATGACTAATGGCAGCTTTATTGGCTGTCCTGGAGTTGGAGGAGTTCTTTGCCGCAGCCGCAAAAAGAACTTTTTGCTGCTGGCGTCGTAGCGCTGCTCCAAAACCTCCACTTCAGGGGTTCCCGCCTACCCACAAACCCTAAACCCTAAACCCTAAACCCTAAACCCTAAACCCTGGGTTTTGCGTGCTGGCGGCGCGAGCGCAGGCAGCGCTGCCGCGGAAAAGGCCCCGTCGAAGGGCCGTTCAACACCCCCTCCCGCCCCGAAAACCCTAAACCCTAAACCCTAAACCCTAAACCCTAAACCCTACCTGGGAGTACCAGCGCTCGAACTGGGTGAAATCTTTGCCGTTTGCATCCGCCATTGCTTTTCTAAAATCATCACAAGTCACTGCTTCTCCGTCATGTCTTTTGAAGTATAAATCCATTCCTTTTCGGAAACCCTCGCGGCCCAGCAGCGTGTGGTACCTGCGCCAAACCCTAAACCCTAAACCCTAAACCCTAGACCCGCGCCCCAAACCCCCACGGCTCCTGCTAGTCCTGCTGCCTCCCCGTTGAGGGTTTAGAGTTTCCGAGGGTTTCAGGCCTTGCAAGCCTGAGGATTGGCGAAGCTAGGGTTTAGGGTTTGTGGCCGCCACTAGGGCTTGGACCTTGCAATCCCTAGGGTTTAGGACTCAGGCACTCAGTAATTCTGTTCCCCATGGGGACTCTGGTGGGCTTAGGGTTTATGGTTTAGGGTTTAGGGTTTAGGGTTTACATGCGGACGACTTCCGCGCCCTTTTCGTAGACTGTGAGAGTG